CTCGCCACCGCAGCAATGCTGCCATGGTGGCGCCCGCCCCAAGAGATCCAATCAGCTTTGGTTTTCGGGGGCTCCGACCAAAGCTAGATCAAGCAACACGACCAATTATCTGGGCAAAATTGCGCGACGCGCCGGCGCGCGAACTTCTCTCAATCCCATCGACCAAGCTCGCACCGCAGGTAGGGCGACCGAACCTCGTCCAAATGGATCGACCTACATGCGATTCTACGTTATTTTCATGCCGCGGAATATTTATATAACGTTACAGGTGCAGTTATGATTAACGGTCAGAATTGTGAAATTACAGCATGGGGTTTCGATTCTTTCACCAAAGACAGATGTTGCGACGTGTTACGTCAATTCAGTCTGGTCGCGCCGACAAGGCTTGTCTTATGCTCATTTTGTTAGGTCTTGTTTTTTATACGGTGTAAAACAAACTAAAACCCCTAGGGAGCCAGGCACCGCTTTCAAAGCATCAACCCTAAACAACTTGCAAGCTCCCGTGTTTAGGGTTGATACCTCCCGAATTGCACCACATTCGAGGCATCAACCCTAAACACCTTGCCATCCGTGTTTAGGGTTGATGCCTCCCGAATTGCGTTCCTGTATTTCGGGGTTTATTATTTGTCGGCCCCAGCTTAGATTTAGTGCTCCATAAATGTTTCTTTTTAAATAGAAGGCTTTTCACTATATCAAGGATACAGCAAAAGGGGCCACAGTCGTAACTGTTGTGGGGAGGGGGGCAATTTGCACGATAATGAGAGAGCCGCCCCTCGTATGCAGCTACGGTGGTTTGTATCTGGCCCTCCGGTCCGTCCAGATCGACAAGAAATCATCTCGCCACGTCAGATTGCTGGCCACCCTCGTGCTGGCGTTCTCCAACGCTGCAACTTCATCACTGGCCAGATGTCTCTTGGCCACGTGCTTCTTCTTAATCCACGCCCTCCTCCGCTTGATGCCTTCATAGGTGCGCGCATGCAGGCAGAATGCCGTCGCAATTCTCCGCATCACTTTTCTGCACTGGAACCTCTGCCCCCTGAAAACCGCGTTACAGCGCTCCACCCAAATCTGATGAAACGTGATAGCCGACACAGTCAGTTCCGGAAACCCGGAAGCAGTCCCCCCGCGCTGGAATAGCAGGTCGCCAAGTGTCCTCGCATTCCGCGCAGGGTTAAACCAACGAATCGCATCCTTGAGAGCCCCCACCACAGGCTGGATGACTCGGCAGGAGAACAGTGCATGATCCACCGACTCCGCCTCCCCGCAGTGTGGGCATTTCGCCCGCTCCCCCAGGAACTTCAGACGGTCCCCCACCTGCAGATTGAAGCAGTGGGCGCGCAGCAGGACGTCCCGCGCCCTTGCAGGGACCACGTGGGAGTCTCTGCGCGCGATCACCCGCTTCCAATCAATCTTCTTTCCCCATAGCTGCTCCCACTCTGCACGACGAGGCAGCTTGTCCGGCTGCTTACGCCCCATCCCCAGTCCCACTCTCAGCTGCTTCAGTGAGGCCGCTAGCTTGTCCACACAGAGCTCCGACTTTAAAAGTCTGCTGCGCGGCTCGCCCAGCTCCCCGTTCACCTCGTCCCCCAACACCGCCATCGGCGTAACCTCCGACACAGATAGTGTCTTAACCCTCGCTCCCTCAGGCACGGCCCACGTCTTCCCATCTTCGCGCAGGCTCAGCTTTTTACAGTAAAGCAGTCTGCCGAGGGCCCTTTGAATCCGCCACATCTTCGCCCCTCTCGCCGTCGTTCTCACCACCGTTGTGGCTCCCGCCACTTCCTCCGATGTGAGCGGTTTCAGGATCCGCTCCTTCCAGTCGTCGCTTAGTGCCTCCCTGACCGCCATAGCTATTTCCGCTGCCTGCTTGCTGCCTAGGTCCCGTGCCAGCAGTTCTACCGACTTCCAACTTCTGGTGCCATCTGCCCATTTCATGAGCAGGTCCCCCACCATGATCTCGTGAAGACATTCGTCTCCTTTGCGCCGTCCGAAGGGGTAACTGCCGTCACGCAGGATGTGCTTGTTGAAGAGCACCCGTTCCATCTCAATGTCCCATCTGCTCCCTACTGTCAGGTTCCTGACAGCTGGCGACGCCATCGCCGCTGCCGTGATTGCCTTCCACTGTTCACTTCCCGTGCCCCACGCTTTCAGCAGCGCCTCGTGCGCGAGGAGGGAGGCGTAGCCGAGCGGGAAATTCGCCGCGCGTTCCGCCAACAGCCGCCGCTGTGGCATCTCCTCCGTGAGCAATTGCGCCAGCGAGTGAAGTGCCTCTGCGTCCAATCGGTCCTTCAGGTTTATCACTCCGAGTCCCCCGTCCTCCCGTTTGAGTTGCATGAGATCCCCGTTCCAGAGGATGAAGCCGGGTTCTGAGCTCGCCCGCCCCCCGGAGACAAAGGCGTGGCACAATCTTCTTAGCTCCTCCCAGATCGTGTCCTGGAACAACGCGACGGGCATGACGTACGCGTTGACTACCGTTACTCACGCCGTGGTGGTAAGAAATTTCGCCTCCCACTTCTTTAGCTCTGCCTCCATCCTGCTTAAAGCTCTCTTCCACGACGGCTTTGCATCTCCTCCCGGTGTGATCCAAACCCCCAGCAGGCGCTCCGGGTCCTCACGCGACGCCCACTTAAATGCCCCATCCGTTGGCGGTGGTTCATCACGTTGCCTCCCCAGCGGCAACACCACCGACTTGTCCCAGTTAACCGCTAGCCCCGACATCCGCTCAAACTCCTTCAGCAACAGCTCTGCATCCCCCAGCTGCGAACGGCCATCAAGCAATAAGGTAGTGTCGTCGGCATACCCCAGGTAAGTCAGCCTTCCCGCGTCTTTAACTTTGATGCCTAACCATCTCCTCCGTGCCTCCTGGCAGAAGGGCTCCACTGCGCACAGGAACAGGTACGGCGCGAGAGGGCAGCCTTGCCTCACTCCTGTCGAGACTGGGACCTCTTCACCCAGCCAACCGTCATTGCAGATACGAGTCGCTGCGCCTTGATGCAACCCTTCCACCCACTTCACGTAAGCCTCCGGGAAGCCCATCTTCCGTAGCACGTCAAACAGGTACCCACGCGCCACCGAGTTGAATGCTTTCCAAAAGTCTACCAGGAGCATTAGCCAGTCCTCTTGACCTGCGTTCGCGGCATCGATCACATCCGCCGCAACTGCCACCGCGCCAGCAATGCTCCTTCCAGGTAAGAAGCCGAACTGACCAGTCGACACCACGCTCTCCAGCCTGTTTTTTATCCGGTTTGCCAGTATCTTCGCTATCAGCTTGTAAACCGTGCTTAACAGCGTAATCGGGCGATAGTTCTGCAGGTCATCCTTGGCGCCCTTCTTATGCAGGAGCACTGTCACAGCGGTTGAGAACTCCTTGGAGAGTACCCCCGTCCGCTCATACTCCTTCAGAAACTGCATCATCTGCCCCCCAGCAGATCCCATTGCGACTCCCAGAGCTCCTTCGGGAAACCATCACGACCTGGTGTCTTGCCCGGCGCCATTTCCGTCAGCGCGCGTTTGACCTCCGCCTCGTCCCAGGGCGCCATGAGCACCGCCGCGTCCTCCTGGGAGAGACACTTGTCCACCGCCCAGTCCAGCTGTGAGTCCCCACCCGCTGCAAACAGGTTGGTGTAAAAATCCGACGCAGCTTTCAGCGCCTCCTTAGCCCCTTCGTACCGGGACCCCTGGTAAATTATGTTTGTCAGGCGCGTCTTAGCCTTCCGTGCTTTAACTCTGGACGTGAGGAAACCCGTGGGAGCTTCGCCGTTCATCTCCACCTTGATTCCCGCCTGCTCCTGCAGCTTACGGCGCCTTCCTTCCACGTAGGCCTTGAGTTTCGCCTCACACTTCGCAAGGCGCGCCTTCGCCCGCGAACACCGAGGTTTACTCATTACCTGTTGTCTCAGCTCCCCGACCTCCCGTTCAAGGTGCGCCGAAGTAGCCGCTACCCGCTTCCGCTCCTCCACAGTGTACGCCTTGAGGCCCACTTTCAGGGACGCCATTAGCGCCTCCAGATCCCCCCCTCTCTCTGTGTTTTTTAGGACGATCTGCTCCACCCGCCGCTGCACCCCAGGGCGAGGTACCTGCGACGCCGGAAGCCTCCAAAGCCCAGGGCCTGTCTCCCCGTCTCCCCCCGCGCTGAGCTGCAGGTGAACCGCGGACCAGTGATCCGTGAATCTCTTGACCAGCCCCGCATGCCGCACCTCGTGGACCTGGTGTAGCAGCGCTTGCGAGATGAGAATTCTGTCAATCCTCGTGCTTTCTTGAACTGCCGCTGCGTAGAAGGTATACTCCCGCAAGCAGGGATGGAGCGCCCTGAAGGCGTCTCGGACATCAAAGCTGCTGCAGATGGACATTAATCTATCATTTTCTCCCCTTGAACCTAGCCCCGATGTCTTATCCAGCGCAGGGTCCTCAATAACGTTCAAATCTCCCGCCAACATTAGCAGACTTCCAGCCGGTATTGCCGCCAAGAATGGCCGAAGCACATCGCGAAAGAACGGAGACCTGGATGTCGGGCTCGCCGGGAAGTAAGCCGCAACAACCGTCACCGTCACACCGCGCCATGCCATGGTCACCCGCGCCAGGCGGCCCGATGCATCTATGACCACATCCGAGCAGGACACCTCATTGTTCCGTAAGACAATCGCCACTCCCCCAGCCCTTGCCGTAGGAGTTGCTGCTACCACCATGTCTGCTTGTAGCTGGTTCCAAAAGTTATGATCCCCTGAGATCCGTGTGTCCGCTAGAATAGCTATGTGAGCACCATCTCTTATCCACTCCTGAACGTCGTGCTGCTTTTGCCTGCAGCTGAGACCGTTGACATTCAGCACGTTAAAGGTGAGGGTGGTGTGTTTACCCATTTGGAACCTGTGAGGAGCCCCTCAGCATCTACGGGCTTGTGTTAATGATCTTGCCGCAAGTGATGATCTCTGCTTTTATACTCCGTACAGGTACAATGACAGCTGATACACCTCTACCACTCCATGTCGTGTCACTCGACTGAACTACTTCCCCTTCGCCTTCTCTGCACGAATCCCGTACAACTTCTTCGCCGCCTGCAGGCTCTGCTTCGCCTTGGTCATGCGGGTCGCCACACCTGCCGAGCCCAGCGCCGCACCATGGCTGAAGGAGCCAATATGAGCCACAGCCTGAGCGAAGGAGTCGCCGTGCGCACGCTCGCAGCACTCCTGGACACACAGCCATTCTTCCACGTTGGCTCCCGTCGAGATAAGGACCAGCGCCGGGTCGCAAAGGATTTTCCTCACCACCCCTGCCGACTGGAGGGAGGCCGCTGCAGTGGACACCCATCACATCTCCGTCAGTACGCGAGAAAGAAATGATCATACAACGACATTGACCCCGCGGTGAGCTCCCCCCCCCATTACCGTTCATCGAATGGATCCTGCCTAAAGACAAGTTCCAGTTGCTGATGTTGTTGCGACGCTCATGCACATACTCATCATGCAACTTATCCATATGCGGTCCCTGGCAGAAGCAGCAGGACAGCGATGGGTAGTGCACGAGGTATGTCACATCACTGAGCGGGTCTTCCACCACGTGGCGCCAGCGGTACATGTCCCCTGGGTGCGGGACCACCAACCCGCGAATCTTGTCTGTGTCCAATCCCGAAACAGGGTCAACCACGCGGTGGAAGCCTGCGCCTTGCAGGAATGCCGAGCGACCACACTTCTGCAGCTTCGCGACTACCAGCGATTCATAAACGATGAGTGGTGTGATCTCCGCCGGGATCCCCTTCAGCAGGACTTCCACACTTTCTGGCAGGTCAGACTTCGCTTTCACATATGCACGATTCACCGGATGCAGCCAGCCGAACTGATGCTTTGTCGTTCCAACGACATGCTCCACGCGATGCTGACGCACCACCTCCGCATCTTTAGCCGTCGCGAGCGTGACTTGCAGGCGACTGAAGTGAATCTTGGAGAGGTATGTTGGAAGCAGCTCCTGAAACGCGATCTCGTCCAGAGCTTTGTCCGACAACTTCTTTCGCAGGAATACCAGAAGCGCCTTCACCGAAGGCTTCACCGCAGGCATCTCTTTCGCCAGCTCGAACGGGATCAGGAGCGTCAGCGTAACGCGCGCCTTAGCCGCCAGCGCACCCTTAACATGAACCTCAATGCCTTCGTCCGGGTCATCACTTAAGTATCCATCATCATCATCTTCGTCCTCTTCTTCCCCTCCAGCAGAAGTAAACGCAGCCGGAGTCGCAGGCGCAGGCGCCACTGGATCCGGAACAGGGGATGCAGGAGGCGGAACAGGAGACATAGGTGCCGTCGTGACCGCTGGAGCGACTTGGCCATCAGCAGGGAGAGTTGCGTGTCAGAATCCCAACCACTAGACCATTGGGATAAAAGGGCTTGTTTCAGTAGCGGGTCAGTGCGCCCATAACCCCCCAGGCGAACGCGCCTGTAACCCTCTCCAGGATCAATCGGGCATCCACAGTGCAGATCTACTGACACCCCCCCACACTGGGAGGCCCAGGACTAAGCACAGCGGCAACGGCCTACATGTGCATACACCGGGAATCGAACCCGAGACCGCTCTGATACCATGTCAGAATCCCAACCACTAGACCATTGGGATAAAAGGGCTTGTTTCAGTAGCGGGTCAGTGCGCCCATAACCCCCCAGGCGAACGCGCCTGTAACCCTCTCCAGGATCAATCGGGCATCCACAGTGCAGATCTACTGACATTGCGCTGGTACCAGCATCCACGCCTATGCCAGCCATCTGCTCCTGCTGCTCCAGCGGCGGAGAAGTCTGGCCTTCTTGCGTCGTCATGGTAGCAGCGGCTTTCGTCGCCCTGGTCAAGATCGGCATACTTGGATGCAAGGAAAAAGAAGCGCGGAAGATCCTGAATGATGCTCCCTGGTAGGCCGTCAAAATATAGTACGCCAGCTTCTTCCTCGACTTCCATTCCCAAGGAACCGCCTGAAGCTGAAGATACCAGGGGAACCAACTGCCTTGGTAGTAGATCAGACACTTGGCGAAGCCTGAATGCCACGCTGTAGGATTAGGTAGCCAATGTGGCACAAAGTGGCTCAGTAGCTGCCAGCTCGCATTATTGTTGTACCAGGGGGAGTGAAGGCACCTAGGAAAAACATCCGAACCTTGCAGGTAACTCCTAAGCGACAGCCTGGCAGTCCCTAGTCTTGATAATGACAATGAGCCTGGAACTTGATAAGCAAGCAAGGTACCCGCCTGATGGGTACAATTTGTATGTTTGCCTATAGAAGCGTTCAAGCTGCATCGAATGGCGTAGTCTATGTTAAGAATAGGTGTTGTTTGCCTAGACATTGCTCGGTCCGAAGCGCCTGACAGGATCCATGGCGGCCTTAACATCACATCGAGGTCCATCTTCCTCCATAAATGTTTCAGTAAATCGCGGTGGGCACGTGGCAAAAATAATGTATGTAGAAAAGAAGCGTGACACTCGCGCCAAACATTTTAGCGCTACAGACACAGTCACATCGAGAGGGACCACCGACTCCCACGCATCAAACATGGCAGTTACAATCGCATAAGCGCATGTAGGTCGATCGATTTGGACGAGGCTCGGTCGCCCCATCTGCGGTGCGAGCCTGGTCGATGGGATTGAGAGAAGTTCGCGCGCCGGCGCGGCGCGCTTGTCGGCTGAGATATATTCTTCGGGCTCAAGAACTCACCCGAAGCGAAACCGCCATCTCGACTCGGCAGTGGTCGGGCCGGACCCGGACCTCACTGTCAGGTTCGAGGTGCTTGCTTTAGTGCTCCTGCCCGGCCTTCTTGATTGTCATCTCAATGGCATGTCTAATGATAATGCTTCAATAAGGTGCTTTACGTTCTGGAAGGAATAAATGTATATTGGAAACGGTTGAGATGGTTGGACACCACCACCTAGCGCTCGCTCCTCCCATCTTCGCTATGTTAGGTCCCTCTCATGCTAAAAGCCAGTTTCCACTTCCATCCCGACGCATTTTTCTTTGTCGAAACGAATCTCGTGTACTTCCTTGGTTGTTCATGATCAAGCGAACAGCGCACTCCCTGCCCTTGCGATCTTGCCGTGGATCGCAACGTGCAAATTACCTGGCTCGGGTGGCAAAACCTTCCGCAGCCGGGTTGTGGAGGAGGAGTTTCAGGCTGCTGCTTTGGTAATTTGCATTTGTACGAGCTGCTGGCACGGTCCGCAGTCATCCTAACAATTCAGTGATCCGCATTCCGAAATTAGGCTTAGCGTCACGCATCAGCTCGTCCAGACGTCACGCAACAGCCGTTTGTGAAGGTTCTGTAGCTGCGACAAGGTGTGGCCTTGGCAAAGATTCACCTGCACTTTGCAACGATCCTTTCGCAACGATCAGCCTGCCGTTTGCGGAGGCCCGCTGTGTCGTCTTGTGATCCCTGCGATTGGAAGGCCACCGAGAGAGGTTGTGGCACAAAAAGGCCAGGTCTCTGGTTTATTTTTTCTGGCGAAGATCTCAGGTTTTCTTTTTTCTAATTACCTTGGCGAAGATCTCAAGCTCTGTGGCGAAAGGTTGCAAGCACAATCGCGAAGATCGCAAGTCTCTTTCGGCAGCGCCTAGAAGCTCCCGTTGAGTCAGTGCAAGGATGGCGGCGTCCTCCGCTTTCTCCGCTTCCGCCGCTTCGTCTTTCTGCCCGTGCGCGCATGCGCACGTGGACGGCGCATCCCGCCTCTCCTCCCTCTCAACCCTCAAGGCCTTGCAAGAGCATTCTCTGGGTAATCTTCGAAAATTCCCCAGCGCCCTGAGTGTAAACGCCCTCGAAGTGGGATCCAAGGCGCTTCCGAAGGGTTCTCGCAAGCGATTGGCCCATCATCGTCTCTCCGCCGTGCGCGCCACGTCAGCATCTTCCATTCCCCCTGGCGGCTCGTCTCGGTCAGCTAATCACAGTGGTGCAAGCAGATCCGTCTCGCCGCACCACCAGCCCTTTAAGCTGACGTCCGCATCTCCATGGCAACAGCCAAGTCAGCAACAGGACGAATTTCCGTCAAGAAATAATAGTCTTGCCGCTAAAGACGCGATTGCCGCGTCAGCACCGGTCAGCAGCCCAAAAGATTTCGACCTGAACGCCCGTGGCGAGGAGAACAGCGGCTGCAACGGCACGACGGGCAGCGGCGGAGATTTCATTGCGCTGCCCGAAGGAACGGCGTCACGGACCAGAGCGGGGGTTCTTCCTGCCAGGGTTTTTCACATGCAGCTGGGAAAACCGGTGGTTCGGAATTCGCCCCCCTTAAACCCTGCGTTTCCGGGTCGGAATCAGCGATCCGTGGTAACCCCGCAATCGTCAACCGTCGCGTCGGTTTACAAGCCGGTTAAAGCGCACGATGAGGGAGAAGGGGAGGGTAATTGGGCGGATGGGGGCGATGAGGGCTTCGGGTTTGAGAATAGCTGCGGTGGCAGCAACAGCAGCAGCGCTACCAGCAGCAGCACTCGTTACACGAGGAGGGGGGTTAGCAGCAGGGGTCTGAGCAGCAGCAGGCGCAGGAACTTTTCTGCAACCACGAGCACTGACAGAGACCGTATACCCCCCCCTCGCCCCACTCCTTCCCGCCATCCTTGGGTTTCTGCCCCCCACTCTGCGCGCTCCCCTGTGTCCGCGGGGCAAAAGGCGGAGGCGTTGCGCATTTTGAGGGACATGCTGGCGGAAGCAGGGCGCAGGGAGGAAGAAGAGGCGCGCGGGAATACGGGCTTCGGGTTTAGGGGGGTTGAGGGTTTCAGCGGGGCAGTGGGGTTTAAGGGTGGTGTGGGGGAGCGGGATGGGGAGGGGGGAGGGGAGAGGGGGAAGGACGGGGAGGGGATTAGGGAAAGGGGGAGCTCTGTGGGTGTGCGGGGGGACAGGAGTGTTATGGATGAGTTGATTGACTCTTTTGGGGGTGATAGTAACGAGGGGAGTTTGAAGGAGGTAGCTCAGAGTGCGACAAGTAAGGGGGGAGAAGAGATAGCAGCAGCAGCAGCGGACGAAATAGTAGCAGCAGCAAGGGCGCCAGGAAATGACGCGTATGCAGCCATTTCGCCCCCAGTAACAGCAGTTTCATCCCCAGCAGCAGTAATGACAGCAGCACCAGCACCATCCACAGCAGTAATCGCACCAGCACCACCACCAGCAGTAACAACAGCAGCACCAGTACCACCACCAGCAGTAACAACAGCAGCACCAGTACCACCACCAGCAGTAACAACAGCAGCACCAGTGCCACCAGCAGCAGTAACAACAGCAGCACCAGTACCACCAGCAGCAGTAACAACAGCAGCACCAGTGCCACCAGCAGCAGTAACGACAGCAGCACCAGTACCACCAGCAGCAGTAACGACAGCAGCACCAGCAGCACAAGCAGCGGTAACAGTAGCAGCACCAGGACCAGCAGCAGCAGCACCAAAAACTGTCTCTATGCTTCCTATCACTTCGCCTATTCCACACGATAGTCCTCTTGCTCCTCCTCCTCCGCCTGCTTCTGATGTTTCAGCACAGGATAAGGCAGAGTCAGCAGCAGCAGCGAAGGAAAAGGCAGAAGAGGAGGAAGGGCCGCCTCACAAAGCAGACGAGGGGGAGGGTGAATCCCCGAGTCCCATTCCACGTATGCACGTGGGCGTGCCTCTTCCCATCCAGCCAGGCTCTTCCCTGCCCTCCCTCAAGGCCAAACCCTCTTTGCTACAGAAACCAGTCGTGCCAGCTGCGCAACCACAGGGCCTGCAGTCGACCTTTGAGGCGCCCCAAAAGGCGCAACCGCAGGGCCAGCAGTCGACCGGAGCGGCTCATTCTGTGGCATCGAGAGAGTTCAAGGAAGGGTTAGGGTCGCACTATTTTACCCAGCAGCCACACGTGTTCAAGACAACCGTGGCTGTGGCTTTTGTGCCTCCTCGCCCTGCTGCTGCTGCTCCTGCTGCTGCTGCTCCGGCTGCTCCGGCTGCTGCTGCTGCAGCTGCTCCCCCTGCAGCTGCTCCCCCTGCCGTTCCTGCACCCACTGCTCCCCCTGCTCCCCGTGCTCCCCTTGCTCCTCTTGCTCCTGCTGCTGCTCTTGAATCTCCTGCTTCGGTTTCCGAGCCTAGCACGGACCAAGCAACAGCAGCACTTTCCAAGCCTCAGTTACCGAGCCTCGACATACCCAAGCCTGCGAATGATGTTCGGCAGGCAAAGGCCTCTTTCATTGACCAATCTGACGACATGCCTGTGCTCCAGGCTCGGCCCAAGCCTGTCAGGCCCGGGAGTAGTTCGGGCGAAGCTCAGCCATTGAGCCCTAGTGTTTTGTCCTCCAGACCTGTTCGAGTGTTTAGACCACTGGGAACACCTAGGGAGGACGCTTATATGGAACGTGCTAATAACGGAGCAGCAGCTCAGGGTAGGGTACCTGCTCCAGTGCACGTTGAGCCTACCGGGGGTGTTTATAGTGAAGGCCACGTGGCAGGACTGGCGAGCAAGGGAATAGAGGGAAGAAGAGTAGGAGGGACGAGTGAGGGAGAGGAGCAAATGGGAGTGGAGGGGAGTGAGAGAGGGAGGGTGGGTTATAGTGTGACTAGGGAAGAGGGAGAGAAGGGGAAAGTGGTTGTTGCCGGAGGGAGGAGGTGGAGGAGGGAAGGAGGAGTGTGGAAGGAGGGGGTAGCCGGAGAAGCAGAGGAAGGAAGGGATGTAAGAGAGGAGGGGAGGGAGCAGAGAGGAGACAGTGTTGCAGGCATGGTCAGAGCAGGCACAGTGACAGGCACAGTGACAGGCAGAGTGACAGCTACAGTGACAGGTACAGTGACAAGCCTGGTAGCAGAAGGCACGGAGGCAGAAACGGGGATCAGAGGAGCGGAACGGGTAAGAGAGGAGGGGTTGAGAGCAGGGGAGGGGGTGAGACGGCCAGAATGGGTGAGCGAGCAAGAAGGACTGAGGAGGAAGAGAGGAGGAGCAGAAAGGGGTGCAACAGGCAGAGGTGCCGCTGCTGCTGCTGCTGCTGCTGCTGCTGCTACTGCTACTTCTACCATTCCAAAATCAGCTTTCTCAAAATCTGCTTCGTCCAAATCAGGCCGTTTCAAATCGGCGGTTTCAAAAGCAGCAGCAGCAGCTGCTATGTCTAAAACGGGGATATCAGGAGCAGAGAAGAGAGAGCACAGGAGGACGAGTAAGGCAGAGAGGAGAGCAGCCAGAGAAGCAGCAGCTAACGCATCTGCCCCCACTCGAGCCGAGATAATCGAAGTGGGAAAAGCAGGAATGGCAGTTAAAGACCTAGCGGGCCTTCTAGCGGTCGGCGAGGGGGACATAGTGCGCGCACTGTTCATGAAGGGCGTTATAACGAACGTGAATCAGGTTCTTAACGAGGATATGGTGGCGGTGGTGTGCGGGGAGTATGGGGTGGAAGTGCTGGGGCCGCAGGAGGGCGGCGTGGAGGAAAGTGCGAGGAAGGTTCGTGAGTTTGTGGGGGAGGAAGATCGGGAGCATCTGGTGCCGCGGCCGCCTGTTGTGACTGTGATGGGACACGTGGACCATGGCAAGGTGAGCTCTTATGTTCTATGGGACACGTACGTTCACTTCACCATGAAGCATCTGGTGCCGCGGCCACCTGTTGTGACGGTGATGGGTCACGTGGACCATGGGAAGGTGAGTGAGACACACGAGGTAACCTCTTTTGAGTTGACTCAAGTATCGCCTCCAGAGGAGGATCGGGAGCATCTGGTGCCACGGCCGCCTGTTGTGACTGTGATGGGACATGTGGACCATGGCAAGGTGAGCCACGTGGACCATGGCAAGGTGAGCCACGTGGACAATGGCAAGGTGAGCCACGTGGACAATGGCAAGGTGAGCCACGTGGACCATGGCAAGGTGAGAGAGACACTCATAGTACCCTTTTTCTCAGTTGACTCACAAATCACCTCAATTGAAGGCATCTGGTGCAGCGGCCGCCTGTTGTGACTGTGATGGGTCACGTGGACCATGGGAAGGTGAGCCCTTATGCATTCTATGGGACAAGGGGAGCATGGGGTATCTGGTGCCGCGGCCACCTGTTGTGACTGTGATGGGACACGTGGACCATGGCAAGGTGAGCCCTCATGCATCCTATGGGACATGGGGAGCATCCGGTATTTGGTGCCGCGGCCGCCCGTTGTGACTGTGATGGGTCATGTGGACCATGGGAAGGTGAGACACTCACATAGTACGTGCTTTTGAGTTGACTAAAAATTTACCTCCCGCGGAGAATCGGGAGCATCTGGTGCCGCGGCCGCTTGTTGTGACGGTGATGGGCCACGTGGACCATGGGAAGGTGAGACTAAGATAATGTATGGGACAGTCACAACATGCACAACCACATCACAGTAATGAAGTATCTGGTGCCGCACCCGCCGGTTGTGACTGTGATGGGCCATGTGGACCATGGGAAGGTGAGTGATGCGCACATAGTGTTGTGGTTGTGTAATCTATTAGACACGTGAACTATGCAGTATCTGGTGCCACGCCCGCCTGTCTTGACTGTGATGGGACACGTGGACCATGGAAAGGTGAGACACATATCCCTTATGGGACACATGCACCATGAAGTTTCTGGTGCCGCGCCCGCCTGTTGTGACTGCAGGCACATTTTGTTGCTCGTTGCCTTCCAGTTTCGACGTATATTTTTTAACATGATTTGATCGAGCTCTTTCTTCTCCTGTTCTCCTGCTGCCTTCTTTGTGTGTGTGTGTGTGTGTGTGTGTGTGTGTGTGTGTGTGTGTCTGTGTGTGGATGCATGCATGCATGTGTGTGTGTCTTTCTGCGCATGTGTCTGTATGTTTGCATGAGTGCATGGTACAGACGTCACTACTAGACTACATTCGCCACACCAAGGTGGCAGCAGGGGAGGCAGGGGGAATCACTCAGGCCATCGGCGCTTACCGCGTGCACGTGCCCTCTGCTGCTCTTGCTGCTGCTGATGGTGCTGCTGCGAATGGTGCTACTCGTGGTGCTGGTGGTGATGACGCTGCTGCTGCTGAGAGGGCTGCAGCGGAGACTTGTGTTTTCCTCGACACACCGGGGCATGAGGTGAGGGTGGGGAGATAGGCATAGCATGGAATGTCCTGGGCTGGGTTGGGTTGGGTTGGAATAGGATGGGATGGGATGGGATGGGATGGGATGGGATGGGATGGGATGGGATGGCATGGCATGGCATGGCATGGCAGGTGCTGATTGCATGAGATTTGGATGTGACGATGATGGCATGGCATGGCATACATGGTTTCTCTCTACGTTAATAAACTAGAACAGTAACCCATGCGTGGCATGCCATGCATCGTCACTCCCTTGCCACCTCCCCCCCACCTTCTTCCCCGTTCCTCTTTTACAGTCGCCTCAAAGTTCACTTCTATGCTAAAAAACTAGACCAATCACCTCAGTCCCTTGCCCCCACCCCCTTCCTTCCCCTTCCCCCTCACCTCCCCCCCCCGAATGTCCTTTTCCTTCTCCTGCAGGCATTCAGTGCCATGCGTGCCCGGGGAGCAATGGTGCGTGGTGATGGTGATGGTGGCAGCACAGCAGACGATGGGGTCATGCCCTTCAGACCACCGAGGCCATCGCTCATGCCCATACCCTGCCTTCCCCTACCACATTTCCACCTACAGGCATTCAGTGCCATGCGTGCAAGGGGTGCACGGGTGACAGACATAGCAGTGGTGGCAGCACAGCAGACGACGGCGTCATGCCCTTCAGACCACCGAGGCCATCTCACACGTGCGCACCCCTCCGTCTCTTCCTCGCTCTGGCCCGCCACCCCCCTGCAGGCCTTTAGTGCTATGCGTGCAAGGGGAGCACGTGTGACGGATATAGCAGTGGTGGTGGTGGCAGCAGACGACGGGGTCATGCCCTTCTCTCCCTTACATGTCCCTCTCCCCTCACTGCCCTCATCTTCTTCCTACAGGCATTCAGTGCCATGCGTGCCCGGGGAGCAAGGGTGACAGATGTAGCAGTGGTGGTGGTGGTGGTGGCAGCAGACGATGGGGTCATGCCGCAGACCACAGAGGTTATTTTCTCATGCTTGCACCTTACTCTCCCTTCCTACACCCCCCTCCTCCTCCCCTTGCAGGCCTTTAGCGCTATGAGAGCAAGGGGAGCACGCGTGACAGACATAGCAGTGGTGGTGGTGGCAGCAGACGATGGGGTTATGCCGCAGACCACAGAGGCAATTGCCCATGCGCGGGCTGCCAACGTTCCAATGCTCATTGCCATCAACAAGGTGTGCTTGTAGCTAGCAGGGTGTGCTTGTACGGGGGATTTTTGTACTGGGAAGTTGCCCGTGTGCTTTAGGTGGAAGCAGACGATGGGGTCATGCCGCAAACACCAGAGGCAATCGCCCATGCCAGGGCTGCCAACGTGCCCATGCTCATCGCCATCAACAAGGTGTGCTTGTATATGTGTGATTGTATATGTGTGGTTGTTGGGGACAGGAAATGATGCTATTAATGGAATCGAGAGGATGTTTGAAGATGCCATGCCAGTTAGCTTTGGTTGGCACTTCTCTTAGTGCGATAGTAATGTCTTTTGAGACGTCTCAAGGTGACTTTTGAGTCGACTCAAAAGTGACTTTGCCAGTTAGCTTTGGTTGGCACTTCTCTTAGTGCGATAGTAATGTCTTTTGAGACGTCTCAAAACAAGTTAGCTTTGTTTGGCACTATTCTTAATGTGATAGTACCAGCAGGTGTGCTACCTTCCTTCTGTGATGTGTGGTCCCTGCTTCCTTTTCTTCTCCTCTACCTTTCTTTTTTTTAACCCAGATTGATCGTGAGGGCGCGAGTGTGGAGAGGGTGAAGCAGCAGCTGGGGCAAGCTGGAGTGCTGCCAGAGGAATGGGGAGGAGACAACCCCATGGTGCCGGTGAGTGATTGTTCATGGGGGAGAGGGAGGAGGAGCGGGAAAGTCAGGCTCGAGAGTCAGCTCAGCAGCAGCTGGGGCAAGCAGGGGTGTTACCCGAGGAGTGGGGAGGGGACACTCCCATGGTGCCGGTGAGTGATTCCTAAAGGGGGGATGGGAAAGGAATTCAGAATTAGAAGCAGAGGTAGAAGGAGAGTAGCAAATGTTCCCTAGTGTGGAGAGGGTAAAGCAGCAGCTGGGGCAAGCAGGAGTGCTGCCAGAGGAATGGGGAGGGGACACACCCATGGTGCCGGTGAGTATGAAGGCAGCTGGAGGGAGAATAGCCATGCTGTTTATGATGCTGGTGGTGTAATTTTAGAGGTAAAAAAAAAAAAAAAAAAAAAAAAAAAAAAAAAACATGCCTGCAACAACAAGGACTTGGCTGGCCTCCTTCCAATCACCCTAGATCCCAACCCACCGCGCCGCACCGCACCCCAACACCGTTTTCTCTTTATCCGCAGGTGAGCGCCAAGACAGGAGAGGGCGTGGATCAGCTGCTGGAAACGTCTCTTCTAATTCGCTCTCAATGCAATGATCTTTCTCCCACCCCGCCCCACCCGGCCCCACCGCACCCCACCACACCCAACCCCACCTCACCCCATTATTATCTTCTGCGCAGGTGAGCGCCAAGACAGGAGAGGGCGTGGATCAGCTCCTAGAGACGATCATGCTGTTGGCTGAGGTGAGAATTGCTGAGGGGATGGTTCAGAGTGGTGGAAAGCGGTGGAGAAGGGCTGAGGGGATTAAGAAGGTGAGCGCCAAGACAGGAGAGGGCGTGGATCAGCTGTTGGAGACCATCATGCTGCTGGCGGAGGTGAGAAGAAACAGGAGAGGGTGGAATGCGGTGGAGAGTGGTGGAGAGAGCTGAGTGGAAAAAGTCGGTGTGCGCCAAGACAGGAGAGGGCGTGGATCGGCTTCGTATGTTTCGTTTGTAGAGATGATCATGCTGCTGGCCGAGGTGAGAAACGAATCCGAGATAGTTCGGAGCGGTGGAGAGGGGTGGAGAAGGGCTGAGTGGATTAGGGAGGTGAGAATAGACAGGAGAGGCCGTGGATCAGCTGCTCGAGACGATCCTGCTGCTGGCCGAGGTGAGAAACAGAAGGAGGGTGGAAAGCGGTGGAGAGTGGTGGAGAAGGGCTGAGTGGTTAAGGAGATGTGGATGGGTGGGAGAGTGGGTGGGGTCATTTAGTCTCAGGGGTTGATTAATGCATGTGTGATGCCCTCCTTACACCTTGCTTCTCGCTCTCTGCACCCCTTTGCATCGCTCTGCACCGCGCTGCGCCCCTCTGCTGTCCCTCCTTGCAGTTACAGGATCTTCGTGCCAATCCGAATAGGCCAGCAGTGGGGACGGTGATAGAGGCGAGATTGGACCGGCACAGAGGGCCTGTGGCAACGCTGCTGGTGCAGAACGGGACGTTGAAGCTGGGCGACGTGGTTGTTTGTGGGGAGGCATACGGCAAGGTGAGGGGAGGGGATTAGGAAGGGAGAGGAGGGGGGGTGTGGAAATTAGGGAAAATGAGAGCCCGTGGCAACGCTGCTGGTGCAGAATGGCACGTTGAGGCTGGGAGACGTTGTTTGTGGAGAAGCGTATGGCAAGGTGAGGGTTTGGGGGGGCTGGGAATGTGAGAGCTTGTGCAGGAAATGAGGGTTTCGGGGACTGAAAATGAGAGCGCGGGAAGTGGCATTGAAGGGAAAAATGAGCCCCCCTTCTGGTGATTCTGCTGGTGATTCTGCTGATGATTCCGCTGATGATTTAGAACAGCACTCGGAGGCTGGCGAACGTTGTTGTATGCCTTTTGAAGCACCTCAAAAGAACAGTATGCGCAGGCAGGCTGGGGGGCTCGTGTTGTTGTTGTATGCCTGTTGGTGACTCTGTTGTTTTGCGGGGAGGTTCATGGCAAGGTTAGACACGTGATTGAGGAAGTGTTTTGAGACGTCTCAAAACACTTCTTCAATCTTGTTGGTGACTCTGTTGTTTTGCGGGGAGGTTCATGGCAAGGTTAGACACGGTGAGCAAAACAGCAGCAGCACATTCCATAGCAGTGCAGTTGGAGGGGCTGTCCCAAGTGCCAGTGGCAGGGGACGAGTTTCACGTTCTGCCGTGCATCGATGCAGCCAGGGGAAGTTCATGCCTATTTCTCCCGTGTCCCTCCCCCGTACCCTCTCCCCCAGGTTCGAGCTTTGGTAGATGATAGGGGGACCAAGGCACCATCAGCAGGCCCCTCAGCAGCAGTGCAGGTAGAGGGGTTATCCCGAGTGCCAGTGGCAGGGGACGAGTTCCTCGTGCTGCCATGCATCGATGCTGCGAGGGCCATGGCAGACCTAACCCACACCCCTCTCCCCCACTCCCTCCCTCTCCTGCAGGTTAGGGCCCTGGTGAACGATGTGGGAAAGAAGACAAGAGAAGCAGGCCCCTCAGCGGCAGTCCAAGTAGAAGGGTTATCCCACGTTCCCGTGGCAGGGGACGAGTTCCTCGTGCTGCCGTGCATTGATGCAGCCAGGGGAAGTTCATGCCTGCCTGTCCCCTCCGCCTCCCCCTCCCCCTCTCCCTCTCCTGCAGGTTCGAGCCCTGGTGAACAACGTGGGAAAGAAGGCACGGGAAGCAGGCCCCTCAGCAGCAGTGCAGGTAGAAGGTCTTTCTCGCGTTCCAGTGGCAGGGGACGAGTTCCTCGTGCTGCCGTGCATTGATGCAGCCAGGGCGATGGCAGAAGAAGCTGCTGAGAAGGCGCGGGCCGCTCGGCTGGCAGCGATGCAGGGAGAGGCGAAAGTGACTCTCTCTGCTTTCGCCACTGCTGCTGGCGGTGGTGGTGGTGGTGCTGCTGCTGCTGCCTCTGCTGCTGCTAACGGTGCTGCTGGTACTTCTGGTGTTGCTAGTACCAGTGCTGCTGGTGCAAGGGGGGGAGCGGGAGAGGAGATGGAGGAGGAGGAGGAGGTGGAACTGCATGTGGTGAATGTGGTTCTAAAGGTGGACTGCCAGGGGTCTGTGGAGGCGATCAGGGAGGCTTTAAGTGCTTTGCCTCAGGACACCGTGTCTCTGCGCTTCCTGCTGCAGGTGAGGCGATGGGAGGGAGAAAGGACGTGCTTCCTTCCTAATCTCTCTCAACCCAGTGCTCAATCACTTTTGAGAAATCTTTGAAAAATCTCACTCACTACAGCTCAATCACTTTCTCCCTTGAGAATTCTCAAGAGTGTTCCGATTCGCGTTTCTCCCCTGCCCCCCTCCTCCCAGGCCCCTGGTGACGTGTCAAGCAGTGATGTTGACCTGGCAGCATCCAGCTCAGCGGTCGTGCTGGCGTTCAACGTGGGCGTGTCGCCAGCTGTCGCAGCAGCGGCGGATATGAGGGGCGTGCGAGTGAGGCAGCACCGGGTGATCTACGATGTGGTGGAGGAGGTTCGAGCGATTATGGAGGGGCTGCTACACACTGTAGAGGTGCGTTGTACTCGTCACATCAAACTTCAAATATATATATATATATATATATGTACATATATAGTTTAGGCGTAGATGAGGGGTGTGCGAGTGAGGCAGTATCGGGTGATTTATGATGTTGTGGAGGAGGTTCGGGCGATTATGGAGGGGCTGCTTCATGCTGTAGAGATTAGTGGGGTTACTAGGGTTTAGAGATGAAAATTCCCACTCCGTTGTTGCCTATTATCCTTTCGTATCCCTTTTGTGAATTTCGCAGGAGAGTTCTTTCCTCGGCCGGGCAGAAGTGCGGGCAGTTTTTGGCACGGGCAGCACGCGGGTGGCAGGAGTTATGGTGACAGAGGGGCGGCTGCAAAAGGGATGCACCATTGTTGTGAGGCGTGGTGGGGGGAGGGGTGGCAGTGGGAGGGGAGGGGGTGCTGGTGCAATGGCGGCTGAGCAAGAGAAAGGCAAGAGCGTGAAGGGGAAGAGAGAGAAGGCGGGTGAAGCAACGGGAATTAAGCAGCAGCAGCAGCAGCAGCTGCAACAGCATTTGGAGGGTCGTTGGGTGCATTCAGGGCAGGTGACTTCTCTTCGGCGGGTGAAGGAGCATGTGGGGGAGGTGGTATCTGGGCTGGAGTGTGGTGTGGGTGTGGAGGGCTTCAATGGGTGGCAGCAGGGTGACTATATCGAAGCCTATGAGGTGACGCATAGGGCTCGGACACTGGAGGATGCGTCTAAGGAGATTGCACGAGTGGTGGAAGGCAAAAGAGGGACCCAGGGAATGGATATGTCATAGTGCTTTCTTGAAGGGTGCTACCAGTACTGCTATGAGGTGTGTCAGACAGCTTGGGTTGGGAACACTAGAGCATGCCCATACAGAGATTGCATGAGTTGTAGAAGGAAAGAAATGTATTTTTCTGGTGCTTGCTTGAAGGTTGTTTGTAATATTTCATGCTTCAAATTTGTTTCACAGGGCTTGGTTGGACACAGCAGGATCTCCAAGAAAAGAGGAGACGATCCTGAGTACCGTACGCCTACCGGTACCGTACACCCTAATGCTCACTCAACCGCCCACTCTGAACACGCCTCCTGCCACTCCATACGAAGAGTGGTCGACATTCACAGCCAACGGCCCGCGCGTTACTAGCCCACGACAAAACTAAGATATTCTTGACCTCGAATAAGTTATTCGAGTTTCCCAGACAAGACACGCTAGGCTACCCAAATACAGTCCCATTCTCCCCATGGGGAGAGCGTGCTCGAGAGAGGAGCACAGGGAAAGATGGGGAAGGGGACTGAAATAGGCATCAGGTGTATTACCGCATGCCACTGATGGATCCTGGTGTCTAAGAGCTGTCCTCCCTGTATAGGTCATTGACCAGGGTATCTAAGCAGGTACGCATGTTAGAGTAGGGTGGTAGGGATGGTTCAACTATCGAGAAGGTTTGGTACAAGAGTGAAACCTAAGGGGTTGTACCCCACAGTGAGTACCCCACTAAAGCCTACCTAAACTATAATCTATAAACATATGTTTGACACACCCCCATAGGCAAAGTGGGGGAGAGCAAGGGGTCACAAGACCAGTCAAGAAAGGCAAAGCAAGCTCAGGGTGGATCACAACGTCACCACACTCACTGAGCACAAGCAAAGGGCCACAAGGCCAGTTCACATGCAGAGGCATATATGTAACACAAACATCACAGTGATCTCTACCTAGCAAAGCAAGCATGCAGGTATATATATATATAGATCACAGTACAAGCAAGGCCTAAAGCAAGTGAGGAAAAGTGGGCACAAGCCCTAGCATAGTGCAGAAACGCTGATGATCACCAGCCTGAAGTGCCTTGGTGAATATATCAGCAGTGTTGGCCCGAGTGGCCACGTAACGCAGACGAAGCTGACCACGCTGCTGCAACTCTCGAGCCAGAAAGTAACGCAGAGCGATGTGCTTCGTTCTGTGCTCCAGTCTGTGCTCCTCACACAAGGCAATGGTAGCCTTGTTGTCGACGTACAGCACTGGAGGAGAACGAGGCCGCTCTCCCAAGTCAGTCAGCAGGTAGGTGAGCCAGCGTAACTCCTGTGCAGCCATGGCTGTGGCGTAGATCTCAGCCTCACAACTGGAGCTGAGAACTGAAGACGAGCGTGTAGAACGCCACGAAACTGAACCAGAGCCAAGGCTGAAGGTGTAACCCTGTGACGACCGCTGTGTAGCCTGGTCGTCAACCCAAGAAGCGTCTGAGTGCCCAGTGAGAACAACTGAGCTCCTCCCTCCAAGCACGAGCCCCATGCCTGATGTGCTGCACAAGTAGCGCAGTACCCTCTTAGCAGCATCCATGTGCACCTTTCGGTGCCGACCAGGAGCCACGTAGCGAGTCAGAAGGCCAAGAGGGTACGCAAGGTCAGGACGAGTGCAGGTCATCAGGTACATGAGGCAGCCAACTAGCTCTGGGTAAGGACCACTCGGCTCTACGGACTCGTCCGAAGGTGGAGCTGAGAGCGAGTGACCTGTAGCCAGAGGAGTGGCCTGTGCCGAGGACCAGGTGAAGCCGAAGCGCTGAAGGACCTGCTGCACCATGTGTGACTGAGTTAGTGTGATGGTGCGGCGTGCTCTGTCCCGGGTGATCTGCAAGCCAAGATAGCTTGTCAGCTCACCCAGGTCTGTGCACGTGTGTCTCTTTTGCAGCTCCGATTTCACGTGGGCGAGAGCCTCAGTGTCAGCAGTGGCAAAGACCAAGTCGTCAACGTACACGAGGATGTAGAACGGCGGCAGCGAAGTGTCGGTGCGTAGAAACAGCGACGGGTCAGCAGTCGACGGAGCAAACCCAAGAGCCGCAAGTGTCGTCCTCAGTGTGTCGTGCCACTCACGTGGCGCCTGGCGGAGACCGTAGACCGGCCGCCTGAGGCTCCACTGGGTACCAGGAGGGAACGACCCAGTGAAGCCAGGTGGGCGGCGCAGCCAGATCTCCTCGTGCAGGCTGCCCTGTAAGAAGGCTGTGCTGAAGTCAAGAGAGTGAAGCTCGTAGCCTCGCTGAGCGGCAACGTGCAGCAGCACCCGAAGAGTGGTCATCTTCGGGGTGGGGGAGAAGGTCTGGAAGAAGTCTACTCCCTCTCGCTGACTGAAACCTCGTGCAACGTAACGCGCCTTGAAGACAGGCGGAGAACCTGGCGGCCGCTTCACCCTGAAAATCCACATGCCACTGACGATGTTCGCCCCAGGTGGGGGAACCTCGTCGACGTAGGTGCCTGTGGACTTCCAGGATGCCATCTCTGCGTCCATGGCTGTCTGCCACTGAGAGGAGTACTCACCCGCGATCGCCTCAGCGTAAGAGCGCGGGGTCGGGATGTCTGGAGCATCCGGGTCTCCCTCAGGGGCAAGCAGCATGGACACGAGATGAGGCGCAGCGGCTGCAAGACACTCAAGGTCCTCCTGCCTGTCCTCAAGAACGTCCGTGCCAAGAGCACACTCACCCCCGACGGACGGAGGACAGACAGACTCAGACTCAGCAACAAGACTAGCGGCGTAGTCTAGACGACAGGCAGCAGCAAAGTCAACAAGCTCAGCAACTAAGGCAGACGTAGTAGCAGACTCAAACGACGGGTCAGTGACAACAGTGGCTAGCAGACGCGTAACAGTAGGGTGCTCAGCACGAAGCCGGTCAGACTCGGGGTCCGCAACGACAGGCAGAGAAGACGCAGGAGGGGACGGCAGAGGAACACGCTGTGGAGGAGAGGAAAGACGACGGACTACGAGGTGGGTGTCGGGGACAGCCGGCAGACGCGGACGAGGAACACGACGACCGGAATGACCAGAACAGACAGGCGAGACAGGACGCGACGCAGGCTCACGACGCTCAGTAAGACTCCCTAGCTGCTCAGTGTAAGGAGAAGGAGCAGGCAGCGGTGAACCAGGCTGCAACGGAAGACCAGTAGACGAAGGGAGACTAAGAACCTGGCGAAGCACAGAGTCAGGCGGTGGCTGAGACGACGGAGACGGTGGAGCGAAGAACAGGCGCGGCTGTGCAGTGACACACCAGCACCAGCAGCTCCAGTACCCCCAGCAGCTCCAGAGACTCCAGCAGCTACAGAACCTCCAGCGCTAGCTCCTCCAGGACCAGCTCCACCAACAGCAGCACCCTCAGACTCAGCACCTCCAGCCCCAGCAGCTCCAGTACCTCCAATACGAGCACCTCCGGGACCAGCACCACTCCCAGCTCCAGTGGCGACAGCAGAAGTACCTCCAGCGGCAGAGCCCCGAGCTCCAGAAGCGCGACCCTGACGGCGACCGTACCAGTCGTGCAGCTGCTGCGAGGTGAGAGGCACACGCGGACGAAGGCGGCTACTCCAAGGAAGCCGCGCAACAGCAGACTCAGAACCCTCAGCGCCAGAACCCGCAGCAGCTCCAGAACCTCCAGCTCCAGCGCCACCAGCGCCAGTACCTCCAGCAGCTCCAGAACCTCCAGCGCCAGCACCCTCAGCAGCTCCAGAACCTCCAGCTCCAGTGCCCTCAGCAGCTCCAGAACCTCCAGCAGAAACAACTCCAGTGGCAGAGTCACCAGCTCCAGCGCCTCCCGCAGCAGGGCCCCTAGCTCCAGCAGCGCGACCCTGACGGCCAGCGTACCACTCAAGCAGCTGCTGTGGGGAGAGAGGGAGTCGACGACGAGAGTGCAGCGGCGAGGCACCAGCGGAGCGACTACAGAGACGGCCGCTCCCGGGAGACTGCTCACCAGACGCCTCAGTGCCCCCAGGCTCAGCACCCCCAGACTCCTCACACCTAGGCTCAGCACCGACAGTCTCCGCACCCCCAGGCTCCGCACCCCCAGGCTCAGCACCCCCAGGCTCAGCACCCCCAGGCTCAGCACCCCCAGGCTCCGCACCCCCAGGCTCAGCACCCCCAGCAGCAGCACCACCCTCAGCAGGACCTGAGTCACCAGTGACCTCAACCTGAGGAGGAGGGTCTACCTGAGACACACCTGAAGGAGCAGGACCGGGAGCGGGGAGGGGGTCTACCTGGGGAGCACCTGGAGCGAGGAAGAGTGGCGGGGGGGGGAGAGGGGCAGTGCGGTAGGGGAAGAGACGGTAAAAGGGAACCGACTCGTCGAACGTGACGTCCTGAGAGGGGAAGACACGGCGCGAGGTGGGGTGGTAAAACTGCCAACCAGGCGCGTCAGGGACGAAGCCAAGGAAGACACAGGGAACAGCGCGGGCGGAGAGCTTGTCCGCAGTGGTATCGCGGACAAAGGCACGAGCACCCGAGACCCGGAAACGCGACGCATCGCCAACCTTCCCCGTCCACAGCAGTGTGGGCGAGGTCTCCGGCAAGGAGACACGGGGCCAGAGGTTGAGCTGATGCGCGGCGTACCGGACCGCAAACGGCCACAGAAAATGGGGGGCAGCCGCATGGATCATGGAGGTACGAGCGACCTCCATGACTAAGCCAATGCGGCGCTCAGCAACCCGATTCTGCTGCGGAGAGGCCGGAAGCGTGAACGACTGGCGGATGCCGTGCTCCGCACAGTAGGCTGCCAAGAGGTCTGAGGAGAACTCACCACCTCTGTCAGAGTGCAGACGCAGGACAGGAAAATCCGACTGGAACCGCTCGCGGAGCTGGAGACGAGTAGCGCGGATCCAGGGGATCAAAACATCAGGGACCTCCCCCTTGCTGCGCAAGGGGAAGACCGTGGTGTAACGCGTGTAGTCGTCGACGACCAGCAGGAAGTACCGCTCGCGGCCCTGTCCACGGACGCGGGCTGGGCCCCACACGTCCAGGTGGAGAGTCTGCAAGGGAGCCTCTGTGGG